GCATCAAATGGAAGCAATTCCGTGTTTTGTCTGATGAGTGTGGTGCAGGAGGCCTAATTTAAGTACCTTTCTCTTTACCACCCTTTTCTTATAAGGAGAGGTTGGGAAGGGGAAGTGGATTTGACGGTGGAGGGGATGCATAGGAAGGGGTAATATCCTCTTTATGTGCGTCTCCTCCTCCGTCGTATAAGGGTAGGCAACGCATCTGCAATTGCGGATGTCTATGGGCAGCGGTCGCTTCACCATTTTGGCGGATTCTAGTGGCCGCTTGCTCGTTTGCCACCATATTTTATATAAAAAACCTTTCTAATGGTAAAGGAATTTTTAAAAACCACCCAGTAGTTTTTGAGTTATTTAAATTCCTACAAACATAAAAATCATTCCTCGTTACAATATTAGTATGGATGAAGCAAAGCTTTGAAGTTAAGCATAGACTAATCGAATTGAGGTAACGAAGTATCTTACCATGTTTCAACTCGAAAATAAACGCATAATATATATACAGAGACTATAAGGTCTACATTTATATATTTAGACCTAGAAAGAGATGTATGGATTGCGTGAAAGGTGACATGATCAAGAAGGGAGTGATGACTGAGATGACGTATGATAGTTATGTGGAGGACAAAAACGAGTAGGATAAGGAGAAAGATGATGATATATACAGTAAAGAATATTTTTCTCTTACACAATTAGTGAGATGTCAGTTTGGTTTCTACATAGTGTACGTTTTCATACTGAACCTTTTCATGTTTTCCGCAGTAGCTAATGTTCTTTACGGTTACACGAAATCTGGAATGTTTCCAAATAAAAATAACGGGAACACGTTTCCTTTGAAAAGATACGTTCAATTCGTCCTTCTTTAATTTATCTCATTTCAGATCTCTGTGTGATTTGATAGAAATTTTATACACGGATTTAAATTTGAAATTGAGTTTGAATCTAAAAGTCCATTAAACTAATTGTTAGTTGAACCGCGGCCTTCTATTGTCGTAAATACTATCCAAATGTATATTTCTAAAACATTACCCTTACTTGTTAGTAATAGCTTATTTTTATTTGCTTTGATTAACATTCGTTTATATTTCATCATCACCAACTCACTAAACGTCCCCACCGAGGGGCTCGGAGCCTACCCTAAGTTAGGGTGACTCGGACATAGTCAACCACACTGGCCCAGTGCGGGTTGGTTGACTTCACACACATCTTTGAATTTCTTCTCCGATATGTCTAGGTTGCATCACGATGTTTTCCTTCACCGTAAGAACGTCGGGTAAATTAAGTACATATGAAAAATCGAAAATCACATTGGTACATGGCGGGTTTCGAACCCAAGATCTGTAGATTACAAGTCGAGTGCTTAAACCACTGAGCCACCGACACTCTCTCTAGTTTATATTTAAGAAGTCTCAATAGCATAAATAACCCTATGTAGCATGTTACATAAAATAAATAATAGCTACGCATAGACGATAGAGTTTATCTAAATTTTGCCTGAGTTTATTCCCATAGGATTCAAAAGTGATTAATCGTACAATTTCCTTAATGTATATTGCACAATCAAACTCTAGATAACATGATAAATTCATTTAAAGAAACAGTAATATATCCTAAATTAGCTCTATTATAGTCTAATATAGCATCTAAACTATTACAATTATTATTTATATTAAGACGCGCTTATGACTAAACTTTCGCACAACTGTTTAGTCTCGCTTTGATTCCTATGACAGTAGTAGTGCCCGCTTTAACATGTTAGCACGAATGGGCCGGCACGCCCGGTGTAATACCACGACCACGCAGAAGATAGGCGTGAAATGGAAGCAATTCCGTGTTTCGTCTGGTGAGTGTGGTGCCGGAAGCCTAAATTAAGTCCCTTTCTTTTAACCACCCTTTTCTTATAAGGAGAGGATGGGAAGGGGAAGTGGATTTGACGAAGGAGGAGATGCATAGGAAGAGAAAAAATCCTCTTTATGTGCGTCTCCTCTACCGTCGATGAAGCGTAGTCAACGCATCTGCAATTGCGGATGTTTATGGGCAGCGGTTGCTTTCCACTTCTGTGGATTCAGGTGGCCGCTTGCTCGTTTACCACCTTATGTTATAAAAAAAAAATATGACCTTATATGTGTGCACACTACTCGATATTTAGTTTTGCAAGTAAACAGTTGAATTGGCTGCGAAACAATCGACAGTCAACAGTGTGCGCACGTTCTAACACATTTTCACCAGAAAAAAAACTCCATTCAATTCAATTTAAACAATCTTCAATATAAAAATATCGATAAAAGTCGATAATCGACAAAAGTCGATGTATCTAAAGCTATACATAAATGTTAAAACGGATATAAGTAAGGATATTGTAAAAGATTAACAGTTCTCTATTTTAGCTAAAACGTAAACATTCCCCAGGAAATTCATGTTGCAGCTAATATTGTGTGCTTCCTTCTTCAACGCAAACAGATTTAAAATATAAATATCAATGGATATTCGAAGCAAAATGATGCAAAAGAAACAAAACAAAGTAACAACGCTTTGTTATACTTTTAACAAGAATATCTACTTGATACTTTTCTGGAACTAAACAGTGACTAGTTTTATTGTCTTACTTCAATCTTACTTCTTTCTTACTAATATTATAAATGCGAAAGTTTAGATGGATGTTTGTTAGAGTTTGTAGCATACGGCTGAACGAATCTCGATGAAATTTGGCATAGATATAGAGGATAGTCTGGAAGAATACATAGGCTACTTAATTTTGTTGTTTCAATAACATG